TGCATAACTTCATTTTCGAATTGAGTGAGGAAGAGAGAGAAAACCGGTCGATGTGCGGAGATTGCCGCAAGGGTGAAAAATTCCATTCCAATTACGGGTTGCAACCATCGAAGTTCAACAGCACTTGACGTTTAACGAGATCTAGCGAGCGAGAGAGGAACCGGGTAATATTCTACATTTGGTTGAAAGATGTGGAGAGGCGAAAAAAAATAGAGCGAAATTAAATAAAATACCACAAAATGAACGTACTCAATTGCTCAACTGAAGCTGGCAATTGCCTGCAGTGATTATCGTCTTGATCTGTGCTAAGCATGAAACTCAACACAAAAAATTACTGATGAGAAAAATTGTATATTTTTTTCCATTGCCTCCGCTAATTCTTTGCCGTTTTGCACCCTTTCACATTGCTCCCTTTTTTTCGTTCGTTCGCTCACGCTCTTTCAAGACTAGGGCATTTTTCGATCGAAATTTACGATTTTACACCGTACAGCTATATTCGGCCTTAGCACACAGCAAAATGTCTAAATTAAATTGGGTACAAAAATATATAACCTGTTAAGTTAAAATTTGGGTTAGTGGGATTTGTATAAATGTTTTCCCGTTTTGTGCAAATGTTTTTTTTTTTAATATTTAGCGGTGTAAAGCTGAAACCATTGAAATAATTAGCCGACGATATGAATGGTTCATGGAGATGGGATCCTTTGACCATTTCCAGTTGACCAATTTCAAAAGCCTTTAAAAAAATTACCATTTTTACAAAAGAAATGAAAGATCGTTTGCAAATTGCAACGTTCACTTGATTCACAGGCGCTGAATGGAATGAGTCGATTTAATGTTTTGCCATCAGTTCATTGTATGCGATAGAAAATCCAGAAGGAAGGAACGCACGCGCGCGTTCAAGCATGACATATCGCCAAACATTCGTAACTGTTCTCTGCATTTGTACTAATCTTGATGCTTTCTAACTGCATTCAAAGCCTTTTTCTTTTCACGTTCCATTGTGCAATCCGAGGCCACAATAGAAACATACAAACAAACAATGGAGGATGTTGCTCGCCTTTCACGCAAATCTACCGAAATATTTAAATTTCCACCAATATTTTCCACATCTCGCGTATATCAAGATCGAAATGGTAAGCGGACACCAACGAACACAAAACAACGGAACAGAAAAGAAAAACGCACGAGCGATGAATGGTTTTAGCGCGCTAGCGCACACACGAACGCGATGGTAACGACAAAGAATAAGATATGTGTCATAAGATAAGATTACTTTTATCGTTTCTCATTTTCGGAATTGTGTGTGTTCGAATCTATCTCTAGCCAGAAGTGAGAACAAATATGCGGTTCCGCGTCGTACAATACAACCACTGATGGCCGCGCACGAGCGGCTCATATGTGTGTAATCGCATATGTTCCACGGTCGGTAATCGCGTATGTAATTTTTTTTATGCCGAAGCTAAAATTATCTTTCGCTGTTTTTGCATTCACAACCGTATTTTGGGTTGCAGAAGCAATGGCTTATACACGCGTTTACAATTTTTGTAATGCTCTCGCAATGATACTGAGCTGGAGGTTTTTTTTCTACTACTGATATCACCAATATTCTCTAAACCGATTTTAAAATCCATGACACCCGAAAATACAACGAGAAATGTACACAAAACATCGAGTTAGGGTGACAACATCATACATGTAAAGTTAATTGTTTGAACTCTGTGTCGACTGTTTTCTGCACGAAAAATGCGGAAGTTTTGATCAATTTTCAGCGATTTTCTCGTCACGAAACAAATCGACGACTTTATTTTTATGATAATGATCGAGTCAGATTTATTTGAACATTCACACATACGTGCTACTTATCGGATGTTTCCAATTTTAAAATGTACCGTTCAACACTTTTCCGCAGTAAATTTTGTCAATGTGGGTGTTTCTTGTATTGACAGAGTTCATTTGACGGCCTTTTGAGAGGTTGAAATCTTGGAAAGATACATATGATATTGATGAAAGAAACAAACGAAGATGTACAACAATTATTGACAGTCTCTCAATTCAACTGATTTTTTGTGTTTCATTTTTCTTTCTTCCATTTTTTTTTCTCACCACGGATTGGGTGTTAAAATGTTTTTAATGTGTAAATTCCAATGAAAATCCGTCCAAATCGTTCCCTCCGAAAAGTTTCCCCAATACTAAGGAATTCTTTCGTTCGCGATCGAATTGCATCAATGCATTTCAATCCACTTGAAATACCATTTTATCTTATTATGTCTACGCCACCCTACCGCTAGGGATTCACCAGTATGAGCATGAGCAACGACTTTAACACATAATTATATAATATATGAATCGATTGTGGTTTGTTTTGTTCGATAGGAGTCACAGTGTAACGCAATACGGTGTCGTAGAGTTCAAAGGGAGCAAAATTTTCCCCGCACAACGCATCTCTTCAGTACCAATTTTATTATAAATTACAAAAAAGAGAAGCAAAGTGCATTCGAATCGTTTCCTTTCGTTTCGGCAGGCGATCGGAAAATTGCGCGTAACAACAACAACAACAACCACCACCACAGCAACACTACGAAAAGGAAAATGCGCCAAAAGGTAAGTATTAGCGGATAATCCGTTTATAACGCTACAAACAATTTCATTAAATTGCGTTCGATTGCTGTTTACGGGGCATGTTTTCGATGCTTGTAATCGATTTTCACATTTTTTGGCTATATTCTTCGGAAGGTCGCAACTCAATCACGTTCTTGCGATTCGCATAAAAGACGAATGAAAATCCAAAACATCATCATACTTCAAGTGGCTCTTATTTTTTTTAACGCATTTGATGAGTCTCATATAGAATTTTTTTTCTTTACTCTAAACACCACTAAAAACTCTGAAGAATTACGAAAATGTGCACCAAAATCACATCGAATATGTTGGGTTTCATTACATTTTGGACTAAACTTGAAAACCATATTCGAACGTGCTTTGTTTATTTTTGTCATTTCCTCAATCCATTCGAATAGTTGTATTTTTATTGCGTTTGCAGTCGTTTACATTGGTTCAAATTGTTGTTTCATTTAAGTTTGATGCTATTATTTTGGATTATAGCCATAATCTGACATCGAACCAAGCCAAGCATTAAACTCAATGCAACCAAAAAGTGCGCTCTCTTCGTCGACTTATAAACACAGAGACTAGAGAAGGAAAAAACACACAATCGTAAACAATTGAGAAATGTGTGTCCACCTGTTTTCGGTTCAACCTCAACTCGGGCCATTTATAACGGAGAGACTGAGAAGGAGAGAGAGAGAGATAGAGAGAGAGATAAAGATTAGAGAGAACTGCGGGCACCAAGATGCGAGCACACTTTTTCATGTTCGACGACGACGACAGCCACGACGACGGTGACGGTCATGCACATTTTTTGTTGCGGCCAATGTTGATTTTGTAAATATGCAATCATCGAAAAATGAATTATAGATTTTAAATCTGGCGCAAATAAATGCCTTTTAATTTATCAGAACATATTGTTTTTTTTTCTGCGAATAAAACATGGCAAAAAAAGAGAGAAAATCAAATGAAAATCACGAAGTGAGTCTATATTCATTGCATTCGATATGGTTTATTATTTCAAATTAATTTTTTTTTTCTGTTGTTATTGGCCGTGAACATATGCTATAATATCGTGTTCATATTGTTGCCGTATCATTTGTCATCTCTCTCTCACTCTCCCGAAATATTTTTTTGTTTATGATTTTATTATTGCTCGGTGCACGTGTGCGTTTATGGTTTTTTTTTGCGCTCGCGATAGTCCACCCTCATTTTTCAACAGTTGACGAGATTGAAATTTGTTTCGTGTGTTTTTTTAAAGAAGAAAATTAGCCTAATGTCAGCACCAGTGCGTAGCTTCCCCAGCGATGAACAATTGACGGCTGAAGACAGTTTTAGTCTGAAATGTGTCAACCAATTGGCCAACTCGAATGATTGATTCAATTTTTTTTTCGTTTATTCATCGCAAACGAAGATCGCTTCCTATATGTAACGGCAATGCAATGGAATGGCACGTATTGTTTTGCCACGTATCTCTTGGGCTTCCACCACACAAACATTTTATATCGCATTCCAAATTACCAAAAACCTTCTTATTCTATTTTGTTTGTTTTTTTTGTATCAATGTGCACCATGCGTATGTACAGACACACACACACACACAATTCTGGCCTCAACCCTTATTAATTGCCTTTGAGGAATTTTAATATAACCGAATCGGGATTTTTCCATAAATCATTCGATATATATTTTTCATCATAAGAAACGCACTTTTTCCGCCCTCTCGCTTCGGCTCGCTTTTGGATATTATTAATAGAAAATGTGGTTGTACGACCATAACGAAAACCATCGATGGCTTTTCATAAATTCGCCGAAAATATGAAATTGCGTTTTCAAGTCAATGCGGGGAACCGAAAAATCAACCAACATACAACGCACCGAAAGAAAAAAAAAAGTTGAGCATTGAAAGAGAAGAGAACATGTTTCGAGATGATTCACCCCGAAATCAACACATTACAAGACTAATAACAACACAATAAACGATAATAAATAAACGATTACGAGCTAACAACAACAAGAGCAGCAGCAACAACAACGGTAACGGGAACAGTCAGTGTGTTCAGTCACAGTAAATGAATGACTTTGACTCGCACACAAACCAAATCGATGGGATCGTTGAACATTGAAATCAAGATAACCAAACATATAAACATCCGACTTTTGGTGAATGCAAATTCGTCGCAATTCACCGTTTTGCTGGTGTTCAATGGTTTGTGTGATTTTTTTCATCTGCTGCTTGAAATTTGAGACAGAGAATTTGCGACAGAACAAAATATACACATTGAACGATTGATTCAGACCTTATATTCATGGAACTGTGTTTTACATGAACCAACTGATGTCAATATGAGCAGAGAAAATGAACCATATTCCGTTACTCATTGAAATGGCGATGCACAAACAAACCGATAAGCAACAAATACATTCATACTTCTTTTTTTTGCTTCGCAAATACATTTCGATTGGAATTGTCGCCCAACAAAATGACCGAGAATTAGTCATATTGTAGTTTTGGTGGTGTAAAGACGTGCACAACATTTCGACGACAGGATGAACGTAGTGCGCGGAAAGCGAAAACGTGCAACGGCACAGCGGGTCAATCAAGGTAAACAAAATCAATCTAAATTCCGAATCAATTAATTTGGGAGTTTTCAATTCAATCAATGGTTGAATGTCGTTTTGCACACCATTTTAACAATGTTCGGTGGCCACTTGGTCATTTCTTATCCAAAGATCAACATCTAATTGCTATTGACCGATTTAAATTTAGATTACTTGGACTTTAATCGCATAAATCCAGTTGGCGCTGATCCAAACCATGCACAAAAACTCTTGGACAACCAAAGCAATGCGAATGAGTAATTAGCGATTTCGATTTCGTTTGCAGCACGGTATTTGAAGGCATATTTCACATTTGCTTCCGTTTTCAGTTATTCATTCACAACATTGGCGACTCGCGGCAATTCGGTTGTTAAACAATCGAGCACATACCTTAGTAAGTAACAATGCGAACAAATCGATGAAATGTTTCCTGTAAAATTTACTGCACTGCCAATGCGGAGGAAATCGATTTTCATGTTGCCGTTTTTTCATTCTCGTATGTTATTTTGCAGGCATCACGTCTGGTCGAGGATATGCACATGGTGAAGTTGGAATTGCACACATTGACATCGAAAGTGTACGTATTGCAATGACACAGCATATTCGATCTACTGGAAATCTTTTCATTCTAACACAACAGCGCACTCGACATTGAATTCTTTTCGTTGATTTTTTTTTCTTATTTCTCTTTGTTTCGCTCCGTGTAGCCAGCGGTAAAATTGATTCAGTTAAGTGATGACCCTTGGTATTCTTCTCTCTTGATGAAAATACATATAATCGATCCGTGCCAAATAATTGTACCGCACACAATTCACGATGCAAAACCCGAAACAGCCGATGGCAAATTGGTCAAGTTTATTCGGCAGGAATTTCCGAAATTGCCACTCATCAAGGTGCCACGGCGACACTTCAGCGAAACCGAAGGCATGGATTTGATCAAAAAGTACTGCTCCGATAAGTATAATTACATCAAAGAAGAGGTGGCATCGAAATATTACGCTCTGTCAGCCACATCGGGACTACTCAAATATTTACAGTTTATTCACAACATTTACTTCAAAGAGAACGGCGTGAAATTGGACTTTGAAACGAAATTCGCACACATGCAAATCGGTGAATGGTTTTTTTTATTCCATTGATTGCTTTTTCAGTCAAAATGTTTTTTATTTTATTTCATTTGCATCCATTTGAGCTGTGTTAGATTGCGATTCTTTTGGAATTGCCTCAACTTTGTTCAATGTTTTTTCTTCTTCTTTAAACGACTTTAATTTTCAAAAAGTAAATTTTTTTTCTCACACATTTTTGTAAAAATTGTTGCAGACATCGACACATCATACAAACTGGAGTTGTTGACTATAAACAATCCGAACACGGTGAAAAGTCATTTTCCGTCGTTGTTCGATGTGCTCAACTATTGTGTGACATCGATTGGAAAGCGAACGCTTCGTGCACGCATACTTGAGCCGATGTGCGATATTCCCAGCATCCGTCAAATTCATGACTGCATCGAAGAGCTCAATCAGCCCGGATATAGTGAATTAAGCGGCCTTCTTATGCAGGTTCTACGTAATTTCAATAACGTCGAGCGATTGCATAAATTGGCGCTGTTTGTGCCCCAAGACAGTAGCATTCGTACAGCTGAAATTCTCATCAATCAAGCGTTACATTTGAAGAGATGTTTACAGCTTGTGCCCGAACTACAAGCTCGCCTATCGCCATTGATCAGCAAGAAGTTTCATGAAATTCAGGCAAACCTCTTGGATGAACGGTATGTCTCGATGCTGAATCACATCGAAACCGTACTCAATCGCAGCCTGATCGAGTTCCGCAAAGACAGCAGCAGCCAACTGTTTCAACGCATTCATTGTGTTCAAAGCGGAGTGAACGAACTGATTGACATACTTCGGAAAACGTACCAAGAATTAACCGCACAAGTTGAAAGTGGGTTTGAATTTAATGTTTGGAATTTTCATTTGTTTTAAATAGATTCGTATATGTTTGAAAGAGCCGTTTTAATAAATGCTACGAAAAAATGTTGTTGTCACTTTCGATTTCAGCTCTTGTTGGTGACCTATCGGTGAAACACGGCTATGCCTTCAAAATGAACTACACCGTGCAGAGAGGGTTCCATGTGATACTTTTGATTGCAAATCATGCAATCACACACGATTTTCCAGATGAATTGGAAGTGGTGAGTGAGATGCAGATTCTTTAAGTTCGAAAATTCATGCTTGAACTCTTTCCACAAAATTTGATTTCCCATCTCTAGCTGGAAATAAAGCGAAACACATGCTATTTGACAACACCTGAAGTGAACAAACTCAACATTCGAATCCAGAATGTTATCGAAGAAATAACTATACAAAGCAATGTGTAAGTATGTTTGATATTACTCGACGTTTGTATCAATTCCGGTGAGTCGATATAATGCAATTGATATTTTTTAAGAAACGTCACGAAAATTCCGATCAATGTCATTGTCATTCCTCTTCTTCAATCTATTTAATATAAATTTTAATTCCAAATTAACCAAAATGTTCCGTTAAAATGACAGTGTGATTGCGTCCATGTTGAATGGAATTATGAAACAGATCGATGTCATTTATGATTTGAGCGGATTCATTGCAACACTCGACATAATTTTGTCGCTTGCAACGGTATGTGACTTCTTCATCGACCATATGCTTCCATTGGAAACTTTTGTTCGAACGTGTTTCTTTTTGCACGGAATTATTGATTTTTCTTTTTGTTGTCGTTGTCATTGTCGCTGTTGAATAGGTCAGCGCCAATGAAGGTTTCGTTTGTCCAACGTTCGGTGATGAGATGCGAGTCGTTGATGCCGTCCATCCGCTGCTTGAACTGAACATACACCGAACAGCTACCACACCGAATAATATCGTAAGTTATTTCTTTTTTTCTTTTCTTTTTTCTTTTAAATTTAAACATCAAATTGAAATGAGTTATATACTTGGAGAGACATTTTCGAGAGAAAAATGGAAAATTTTGAAAAACTGAACCAATCGAAAATGTTCGAAAAAATGTGATTTGGTTTTCAGATTGCGACTCCGGAATACAATTTTTTCATCATCACTGGACCAAACATGAGCGGGAAAACGGTGTATATCAAAACAATAGCCGTTCTTCAAATAATGGCTCAGGTTTTGTACATACAAGCATCAATTTATCGAATTTTCCAACATTTTCCATTATTATATTTCATTTTTGTTCCTATATTTATTCCTTTAGCTTGGTTGCTATGTTCCCGCCAAAAGTGCTCAGTTCCGAATCACCGATCGAATCTTCAGCCGAATGGGATTCAATGACTCGATTGAGAAAAATTTGTCCACTTTTATGATGGAAGTAAGTTGTTCAACTCTTTTGAATTGAAAAAAAAAAAAACATTCTCTCATTTCTATCCTCATTTGGTTTTATTAAATTAAAACCTTGAAAATCGGTGAGATTTTCTTTTGTTGTTATTGTAGTGTACTTTATGTCAAATGTGGTCCATATTTTCAGATGAACAACATGGAACACATCATGAAAAATATGACACCAAACAGTTTGGTCATAATTGATGAGCTCTGTCGCAGTACGAATCCGAAAGAAGGTGCTCAATTGGCATGGAATATCTGTGAACACTTGGCTTCAATTCGTGGTATTTTCAATGACGGTAAATATTTTGTGAATGACGAAAATCAAAGTCAAATGGATGAAATCAGCAGCAACGGCGCTTCTTCGAAGGATGCAGCATCCACAATGGTTGGACGAACCTCAACCGCGACACGTAGTACGACTTGGAAGAACACAAAATTGAACGTGGTGACATCGCCGTTCATTTTTCTCACCACACACTTCCACAGTTTGACCAAATTGGCGAATTCATTCTTCAATGTGGTGAAGTAGGTTGAACGATTTGGATAGAAATTCGTTTTGAACTCACACTCAAGATACTGATAGATAGACTTTTATGTTTTAGCTTAAGCTTCTCAGCGGAACGAATTGCAAATAATGAAGACGAACCATTGATGTACAATCATCGCATTCAAGCAAGTTTTAATTTGGGTTTAGAACATTTTCTGATGAGAAAAATTGGAAAAATGTTTTAAAAGTTCACCCTCGTTGATTCATAACATGATTTTCGTCTCTTGGTTTCATAATTTCCAATAGGAAGGTGTCACAACGACCACAAGCTACGGCCTTGCAGTGGCAAAAACAGTGCGATTTCCATCCGATCTCATGAAGGAAGCCATTGAACTCAACCAAAATTTCGTGACTGGGGAAAATACACAAAATTCGGTGAGAGCGTAAATACTTCGAAATCGAAATTTCAAAAAATGTTTCGATCTGGATTTATTTCTCTTTATTCCGCCCACTTCTGATTCGAAATATTTTAATTCTATTCCCGATTGATGTGAATTTCTCTTAGACTCAAAACCGTCCAAATCGAAAGCTGTCAAACATGGGCCGGCAAATATTGCAACTCAATCAAAATGTACCTGTCGATGACGTGGCGAGTGTTGTATCGGCTCTCATAAATACGTCCACAGCACCGCGACGACGTCGTCGTTTTGTCGTCCGTTCCGATGCAACTACTACGAGCACTGAGTACGAGGATCATTTGAAAATCGATCGTATTCTCTACAATGCCTTCGGCGATATAATGAGCATTGCACGAAACACCGAACTCGACTGGATGGCACGATACAATGACGAAGACAATAGCGGCATTCCGCTTATGGATGCTCAAAATGCTGCAATTGAAACTTTCCTATTGGATTTTGTCCAGGAGCAACGAGAAAGTTTTGTCGAAGCGGTTGGAAACTTGAGCCTATCGCAAGAAATGCCGGAACCACCAGCAGACAATGGTAACAGTGTGCGAAATGATGAGCAAATCATTCCCAGTGGTGTATCAATCATGAATAATGCACCGATAACAGAAGCTGTTGATTCCGAAGCTTCGTCCATCATTTCGGTACAACGTGTCGTTGCACCGTTTCCTGCTGCTGTAGCAAGAAATTCTCCGGATCGAGAACGATCAATCGTTTATTCAACTTTCGCCTCTGAAAATGCATCTGAAGCGGCTACCGTTCACAGTGATCCACGGATGAGCTCAAGCTTGAAAACTCCGTCGAATCCAAGAACATCAAATTCCTGTTCAAAAACATCATACTCATCGCCGACCGGGAATCCATTCGACAATGCTTCGCAATTTAGTTTTGGTGGTACATCATTTGCATCATTTCGTACAGACATCGGTAACATGCGATACAGTTCCAGTTCCAGTTCGGGGAGTTCCGGCCAAGATGATCCATTTCAACTCGAGCCAATGGGAAATTTTCAGTTTGAAAACTTCTCAATGTTCAGTCAAAGTCAACAAACGAGTACACAGTCGCGATTTTTCACACAACCATTCATGGAAGCGCAGTCGCACAGTGACTTTCACACACCGACAAATGACGATGACAATTCGTTTTCGAGTATGCACTTTTCTTTACATCAAGGCGATTTTGACGATTTTGGAGCACTTGATGCATTCACATTGCCGTCTTCATCGTCGAAAACCAGCTCTGAATCACAACAACAACGGCGACCGAACCTCAGTAATATTAAGAAGAATGCAAATCGATCGCTTGCTCATTTACCCACTGAAACCAACTCAGGTAATTTAATATAAAAAAAAATTGATTAAAGTTTTTTTGAATTTGGATTAAATGCTTTGCCTTGCTATCAATAGAATCAAACACGACAAGCTCGAAAATTGGACAACTCACATTGGATAACGTAACATTTCGCAGCAGTGACAGCGTTCGCTCGGACAGCACGAGTACATCCAATTCCGAAAGAACGAGTCGAAAATATCCACGTATTCGAAAAGCAAAGTTGGCGGCACCATCGGTGTTTGGCGACACATCGAAAGTTTTCACCACTCCTGCACCAATCGTACCAATTCCAAAGCCTACAGTTGCACAACTACCACAGAAAAGTCGACACAATGAACGTAAAACCGACTCCAATTATACAAATGCGATGCAACGATTGCAGGTATTGAAAATAAGTCGATTTTGTTGGAAAAGTTGTCGAACGTCTCACATATTGTCTGAATTAATGAAATTCTAAGGAATGACATTGAAAAATCAAGCCCTTCAAAGATGCCTTTTAGAGAAGCTAATAACTTTCACTTTTTCTCACATTTTTCAACTTCAGCGAATTTATGCTAAGATCCATGGAAACAAAGCGAACGCAGCGACAACACAGCAAAATCCACTGCCACATTCATTGTCAGGACGTCAACAAGAGCCCGGAAATGATGACGCCAATGATGAATTTCATCCACCACTACCGCCGCCGCAAGGATTTGAGTGAATATTCATTCACTGAACAAAAACACAATTTTTTCGATTTAATTTTTGACACATAGAAAAACGTAGGATTTTCCAATTTTTCAACATTTCAATCCAATTGTAACTTTTGCTCTGATTTTCGAAAGAAATCTATCTGTGCTATATAACGTTTACTTTTTCATGTTGTTCCATATGAACCGAATACAAAAGAACGAAAATGTAATTCATTCCATGTCACATTTCTATGAATAAATCAGCTGGTTCATTTGAAAGACGAAGAGCATAAATAATAAAATGACTCGAAATTTTAATAACTTTCAGCGATGGACTTGTGTGTTTAGTTCAAGAGTCAGCTCGTTAATAAAGACTGAACTATGGATTTGAATATGCGAGAGAGAAAAAAATGTATGTAAATAAACAGAAATATTATATAATTTGGTTCGGTTCGGTTGAGTTAGCCAGCGAATATTTTGAGAGAGAGAGTGAGATAGTAAATATTTTATTATCGCCCACACATTCGAGTTATAAAAGCAGAGCAAAAACAACAACAACAACTACTGAAGGAAGAAATAAGGTGAAATTGAGCAGTATTTGTGTGGAAATGCGAAAAATTCCATGGAAATCGTTAAGCCGGTTATTTTTTGCAATTTCCATTCGTTCAATGTTTGTTTGCACAGCAGCTTTGATCGTTTGAAGCATTTTGCGACTGAATTCTTTTCATATTTTTTGATGGTTTGTTCGTCCACTTGGCTGGCTATCGCAGTCAACAATATATATTCGTTTGAAGCGGAAGACACAGAGAGAGAAAGAGAGAGAGAGAGAGAGAGAGAGAGTGAGTGAGCGATTTTTATGCGTAATAATAACGCAGTGAATGTTCATGTCCATCTATGGGAACAAATCCCTATAATCTGTTGCTAAAGTTTTTTTTTATTTGTTTCTTTTGATGATTTCATGCATAACATGGACATGTTAAACCATTGTTTTGCTGTCTTATATTGTTGGTGCCATGTTGCACGCTGCTCAATTTATGCGATGAGTTTTTTTCGTCATTGTGTTTGTGTGTTGGATCATCGACTGAACTTCTCCTTGTTTCTGACACGACCGAGTGAGTGAGGAAAAAAGGAAGAGCGAAAAGCGATAAAAAAAATAAACACATTGCGGAAAACAGAGAGTAGAGTAATCCATGTATGATGAGAATGACCCTATCGTTTTTATTTGTAGGCTCCAAATCAAAAAAAAAAAACCAACAATATTACGTGTTTGCTTCGCTCTTCTTTCCTACTTAAACGAATCACAAACACACGCCGAAATTCCATGCATTGCCGAAAATGTATGGAACAAAAACGATGCACATAAAAATGTGATACAGACAAAAATATCGCAATACAATTATCGTATCCCAAGCGGAAATATTTAAACGTTCACTTTGTTCTATTGTAAGACGACGAATTATGTAAACAGGTCAATTTTGGGATCACTTGGACCAGTGATGCAACAATAGTAACAACTAATCGGCCGATTTCTTTGATTATGGCTTGAGATTCGGATGCAAGTCTTATGGAAAAACAACAATGTTTTCTTTCGGCATTCTAGTTCGATTCGTTTGACCCTTATAATACCAAAAATCACCTATGTGTAGCTTACTCGAGCCGAAAATGTCTGATATCATCGGTCTCAATTTTAAATTTGCCTTTTGATTGAATGCCTTTTTTGCTCTTAATACCATGTGTTTTTGCACAGCATCTCTTTGTTTAATAAAGGCCACTAAAGAGCTTAAAAGCAATCACAAAGTGCCTACTCCCCAAACAGACATTCAATACTTGCTCATTGTAATCTTCGTGTTAACATAGTTGCCTGCATTGACGCACATTGTGTAATCAGTTTCTTTCCGCGTCTCTCAATCGCTTCGTCTACGGCTTAAATGCCATGAAACTGTCTTAATTTGCGACACATAACGAAACACTTTCACAGCCCCAACAAAAACCAGTAGTCATTGTGTGTGTGTGTGTGTGCACAATCTCCAGTTATGACAAAATCACGTTCTGAAATTATCTTTTGCAACTATCGCTAGATCCATGAATATACATCTCAAGAGATTTTCCACCGCGCCGAGGAGCTGAAACGATGTACACACACACACCAATTTGTATATGAACGGATAATGTGAGAGAGTGCCTCAAGGCGGTGCAATATCAATGACATCGAAATGTGCTCTCTCGTGCAATTATCTATTATTAATATTGTATTGTTTCGAAGGAACTGTGCTTGTCGCCCTTTCTCTCTCTCTCTCTCTCGCACTTTATTAGATAATGAATGAATTGCAGATTAGTAAACAAGTACGGACTAACAGAATTAAATGGTAAGATTATTAGTTTAAATTGATGAATTTATGGCGATTGTTTGGGGCTGTACTGTTAGTTCGTTCGCTCGGTTTTTGCTTCGTAAAAATTCCATAGTCAGATGGAGGGATTTTTGAGTTTCCAGCGAAATGTCTCAGTACAACATGAACCGGTGCTTCACACGAGTGAAGCCACTTAGCTGCCAAGGTAAGCGACTGAAACCAGTTGAAATTTATTGATATCCCAACTGGGAGAGAGTGTTCCGTACGCGCAGCAGCTAATTATCGCATTTCACAGTGTACTGTACTAAATCACTTGAATCAATCATCTAAAATCGATCTGACATTTTCGACGCTCAAATATAAACTTTATTCATTTCCCTTTAAATACCTAAGCATTATTCATCGCGTGTGATTCTACATTCGCATTGGATTTAATAAATGTTTGCAAATATAAATTCGGTCGACGAATAAAAGAGAAAGAAAGAGTATCGACGAAAAATGTGTTGAAAAAAGCGAAAAAGTAGTATATTGCAAATCTTGTTTGATTTATGAACAAATTCTAACCGCTCGCAAAACTCCGTTGTATGATAAGGTTGTTGGTAACTAGCAAATTATGTAGGTATTTATTTGGTGTGCAATTTTTCTCTCTCCTTCCCTTCATTCGTTCACATTGAGCTGCGACCAAAGCAATCAGATAGAGAGTGAGAGAGAGAAAGCAACTGGAAAATCATTGTTAGTTTTTCTTCAGTTTGCTGTCTCTTTCTGTCATCGCTGTCGTTATGCTTAGTTTTCGATGAGGACATGTGTTCGCGTTCATTCGTTGGTTTATAATGGTTTTCTTTTGCTTCTACTCCGCCCCACATTCGACTGCTGCCTCAGGTGTTTACAGCTTATCGTTAAATTTCCTTTTTTTCTCTTCTCTTTTTGCTCTTCTTTACTTTTCACTGCGTCGCTTTATATTTATTAGAAAGTGTATGCCTTTTTTTCTTTCTCTCGCTCGCTCTTTCGCTTTTTTTTTCCTCTGTTTGTGTGTATACAAAACATATTCTCCATTGAGAAATCGAGGATAATCATAATTTTCTGCTGTGCATTACATTTATAATATATTTTTCTTATTTATTTTTGTATTTTCGTTTTCATTCGGTTGTCTTGTTTTGCTCTGCACACATACACACAGGAAGAGAGATAGAGATAGAGTGCCACGAAGAGAGAGAGGGAAAGAGAACAGTAAATTTGAAAGCGTAACGTTTGAAACGTGCACACCTGATGCCCAAACAGAGCGATAAATCCATAAGCCAATATTTAAATCAGGCATTTGTGATAGAGTGGTAACGAGCGAGGGTAATGATGTTAGATTATTTGCTACTGTATGTGTGTGTTGCCCGTGTGTGCGTGTGTGTTTGTGGATGGATTGAGAGGCGAATGCGTTTGTGTCCGTTTTTGACATACGGTTTGACGAGGTGGCAGTTGACTCTGGTCACTCCTCAAATCATATGCAAATGACTTCATCATTTATTCGAGAAACTGAAATTAATTGCTGTGCCGTACGCTTTTTTGTGTAACTTTTTGCCACATTTGCTTTTTTTTCTGTTGCTGTCAGTTTTGCGCGGCTCGAACTAATTCATTTAGGTGAAAATCATGCTCACTTTTACACTAAATTTATCCGAAGACCGCCTTCGAATTTTGAGTCTAAGATTTTCATTCGAATTTTTGGTCATACCATTTTTCCTCGATCGTTTTCCTCTCGCATACTTTTGGAATTTCATTGAACCGCTTGAAAAAATTTGATGCGAAAAATTAGAATCGGTTGACGTTTCACTGATGTGGCATTCACAATTTCATAGTAACAATTGGAAGTCCCCAATGAATTTCAATTATACGTTTCCACTGACATCCCTGTTTAACCATTCGATTTGTTTTTTGTTCTCACCTCGTTCAAATTCAATTGAATTTTTAAATCCAAAGCCATTTGTACACATGATTTGGATTCGCTGACGCGCGCGATACAAAACATTTTAAATAAATATGTGAGTGTATACGAAACACCATGGGTTTGATTGTCGCATGGAACACAAGCAACAAAACGAATATAAAACCAAAATATATATTTATTGTAAGGATTTTCCCTTCTTTGTGCGTTGATTCCATTGACACCTCGGTAACTGTATGATGAGTGATACGTTACGTATAGAGTGAGAAAAAAAAGCGAGAATCCGTAGAAGAAAATTGTGTGTTATTTTTTTTTTTCATTCGGCAGAAGTATTGTACCAAAAAAAAATTATGATATGAAAAACAAAGCACAGTTTCAAAGTCATATTTATTGGCATCGGATTTCCCCTTTTCATTTCTTCGGAAGAGAGTGTGTGTAGATTTTATTGCATGAGATGTACTATACGCGCTTGCCGTCAGACACATTGACATTGTGTCGTGTTTATGTATCATTCGGTTGTAGTAGATATATTTTCGGGCGACTAATGCCCACACACACACACACCGTTCCACAATGACGGCGAATTACAAGAAAATTCATGCATTACATATCCTACTAGCATCCTACTAACCTCCATATAAATTGGGATTTAGTTTTCACTAGAAGATTTATGCGATTATTTGGGATTAGACGCTTTTTCGGCGATGCAGCAGTAGCTGTAATAGCAGCAGCAGCCGTAGCAGCAGCCGTAGCAGCATCCATATGTAATACGGCAATTGCCCTGAAATTGATCCCGTCGAACTCGTAAACGAAGCCAAAGAATGCCTGCACTTCGGCTGTCACACAGACACTGTACTTACGTAATAATATGTGCTAATGATTACAAAACACAATTTATAATAAGGTATTGTTTTCACGCAGCAATATGTTGTGATTTGTACAGTTGGTTTGTCGAAGGCTTTGTGCTTTCTCTCTCCGTGCCTCTCTCTCTCTCTCTATCTCATCATGGTGCTTGACGAAGTGTCGCCAGAGAACGGCATTCGAAATCAAATGATTGCGATGCGATTCAAGGCACAGACAGAGAAAAATATTTATTGTGAATGTGTGATAAATCGTGTTATGTGATCTAGATACGAAATTAACACGATACTGACGAACACGCTGGAAAGAGTGGAAGAGCAGAATAGAGAAAGAGAGACTAAGAGATGGATATGGGTTTAGATGTCAATTTTCTTTGACAGCTTCAGAAATCTAGACGATTTCAGTAAGAACAAAAATCGATTTCTCAATCATATTCGATGATTCAAATGTCCGAATGTGTGTTTGTGAGTGCGCCTATGCCGGTGCCTTGTCTTTTTCCCTGCCACGTGAAACATAGTTTATTATGTTATTCAGGCGAATAAATATGCGGTTCATAAATAAATGGTGGGACACAAGTGCAACTTATGTCATTACTGGCTGGTTAACACTCACCAGATAAACATGTGCTTCTCGTTCTCTCACTCCCTTCGTCGCTTGTGTGCAGTGCATGTGTCTACAATCCTATAGCCGATAGAACTTACGGAGACATACGCACACATAATTCAACTCAGCCGCAGCATTGAGCGAAAAACATGAAATTAGATTCACTTGCTAATACCATTTGACTTAACTACTTTATCGAAAATGAAAAGAGCGGGATGGAGTTAGTGTGTGTGTGTGTGTGTGTGTGTGAGAGAGAGAGAGAGAGAGAGCACAAAATAGACAAAAATATATGTGTGCGAATTAGGCTCAAACATACAAAGGATCAAGAGTGTTACTTATGCTGGTAGCATCATCATCACCACCTTCTATCATCCGGTAGCCGTTTGGGTTGCGGATAAAAATGAAACACAAACATATTACCACTTAATATTTTAATGCGACTGTGATTAAATCCACTTTTCCTACTGGTTTTTCTGGGGATGGAGCAATTTTTCGCTTCTGCTCAAGTTAATTTGGCCATATCTCTCGGATTTAGTATTTTTTTTAGGAAATCAAACGGACCCATGGAGTGAGATAGTGAATCGGCATTGTTTTGAGAACATCCAAATTGAGCGATTTAAACACATATGCCCCAACAGTAGTTCGAGTTTGATTTTTGGATGTTGTTCTAAAGAAATTATGATTGAAACAAACAAAATAAGTGAATTACAAATGATTTTTTTCAACACTTTAAATCTCTTAGTTCTGAGAAGCAAGGTCGCTTTCTTCGTATTCAAATACATTGGAAAGATTTGACGTAAGACGCCAAGACGCCTCTACGTGTGGAATGCTCGAAGCTGTCATCGTACACATATTGAACACGAACATTGTCGTTTACACAATCGCACTCACACAAATGAACGCATCGATAGTGCCCGCTCAATATATGTATGATGAGTGTTTTGAGTGTCCCTCGCCTAGAGTGCTGCGTGTCGTTTTTCTTGGTTTATTAAGCGATCTTGTGAGAAGTAAAAGAACCATTTATTTCAATTTAATCGAATTCAATTGATTTTTTTTCGCACACATATTTTTTCGTTTGAACAATTGTTGTCTCTGGATTTTTCATTGAAGTGATTGCTTAAAAGATGGATCAAAACAGATTCAACTGAAACGCAAATCCATTTGAATTGAATTTTCATTTGTAAGAAATTCAAATTCAAATTTTTTTGACTTGCTCTACAAAGGCCGATTGCTATCTAATTTATTGAAAAAGTTCTCGAATGAACAGCGTCACGGAACAAATGTACAAATTTTTTTCCCCCGAAAACAGAAAAGCAAACAGTAGACCAAAGAAAGAACATGTTCGTTGTGTGTTAACGTTGTGAAAAATATGTTTGGTCGACTTCAAACAAATGCAATTAAATTGCATTTATAGACGAACTGAAGCATACGGTGGTGGAAATAAAAGTGGCCCCGGATTAAAAATGTAATAAATCTGTTAAATATGTTGAAGTTGAAGTTTTCACGACTTGATTTTGTAATGCCTTAAATTGCAACATTCGAAATGCAGTCGAAAAATATAAATTTTCGAGTCGATGTGTACGATGTGTTTGTGTCTGTGTATGAGTTGATGTTGTTTTTGTCCTGTCCTGTCCTGTGTGCTCAGTGTTTGTTGCCGTATTTATTTGTAGCTGGCACGTTATTTAGTGAAATAAATGGGCATGTAGATGATAAGAGAGAAAGGTTTGTGCAGAACGTAAACCATGTGAACGGGGAGAAATTTAATGTACTTCATTTAAGTTGCTGGAGCTAGCATTAGCAGTGGCAGTGGCAGGGCCAGCAGCGCCAATGGAAGGAAGTGAAAAAAGGAGGGAAAAATTCACACAAAAGAGTTGAACATGGCAAATAGCGCACTCTCGCCACTTTTTCACGGTATATTTTCTTTCGTACACGCTTTCTCTCTCTCTCTCTCTCTCTCTCTCTCTCTCTCTCTCTCTCTC